AGGACCAGAGAGAGGCGGGGATAGAACCAGGTTGATTCGGTTGCGTCAGACACTGGGGTATAACAACTACCCCTCGGGCTGCAGCAGCAGTGCCCGGCTTTCAATCTGCTGCAGCTGAGGTGCAGGCTGCGCCGTAGCAAGTAGAGAACAACTATCTAAAAACGCGGCGCCTCTTGTATCTACCCAGATGAACACAGATCAGCCGGCTGCCCCTGCCCAGGCGCCAGCCAGCAAGAGAACGAAGCGGAAGAAGAGGAAGGCGGTACTGATAACTCGAAAAGACCGCGAAGGTTTTGCCCATTTCATTCTCCAGACCGTGGATTTCTCCCAGCACTCCGGGGAGGTCTCCCTGGGCGTCATCAGGAAAGAGCTGGCGGCGGCGGGGATCGATGTTAAGAAGAACAAAGCCCGCATCAAAGCGGGGCTCAGGAAGCTGGTCGCCACGAATGTCTTGCTTAAGGTCCCGGGCTCCTACAAGCTCATCGCAGAAGCGAAGCTACCCCCCCAGCTGGTGAAGAAGGACAAATCGCCAAAGAAGCAGGGGGCTGAAAAAATCAAGAGGAAAAAAAAAGCAGCGAAGAAAAAACCCAAGAAGAAAGCGGAGGCTCTTGTGGATCAGGAAGAGGGAACTGGAGAAACTGTCGCTTCTGTATCCTTGATGCAGTGGGAAGCGTCTCTGGAGGGGAAGTCCTAAAAGGCATAATTCTACTGATCCATTCTACCGACAAAATAAATCAACCCAAAGGCTCTTTTAAGAGCCACCCCAAAAACTTCCCCTAAAAGAGCGTTAGCACAAATGTACCTTTTTTAAAAAAAACTTTTTTGTCTGTATTTGTATAGGACCAGATCCTAGGCGTTAGGGAAGGTGAAAACTATATAAACGGGGGTCAGTTGTCTTCTTTACCAAATCAAAAAAAACCAACAACAAAATAAGGTCAGCCCCCCTTTATTTTAAGTCAGTTCATTCAATGGCAGGGTCTAACTCATCTTGAAAGCTCCCTGCCTTGTCCTCCTGTTGTTGGTTTTCCTGACCTGCCTACCATAAAATGCATTCATCAACTAGCGCTGCCGGTTGCTTTCCATTCTAGGAATACATACAACACACACAGCCCTCCCAAATCTCTAAAAAAGCCGCGTTACAAAATATGGCGCCAGAGAGCAAAGACATTCGCTCTTTTGATGATCCCTGGGGGATGGTTCTGAAAAGAACCGTTGTGGTTTTGTTTTTCGCTCCTGGCCTGAGCCGTCACTCCAGAAGGAAGGTGCCCTTAATAATATCTTCTAAGATTTGCTTCCTGCGCGTTGCCACCGTCCCCCTGATTTTGCCCGGGCTCCTGCTGACCCCCTTGGGCCGTGCAGCAGCCGGTTTGATTTCCCCGCTGGGGTCATTTGGCCCTGGGGCAGCTGTTCCTGTCTTCGCCGAGCTCTGGCGCCTCTTGGCCGCGGCTGTTTCCCTCCTTTCTGCTTTCGGGGCGCCGCCCCCCCGCTGGAGCCTGAAAGAGCCCGAGGCGCCGCTGCCGCTGACCCGACGCAGGGCCCCTTGGCTCAGGAGATAACGGAGCACAGTCTTGATGCGGCCCTTGTTCTTCCGCACGTCGTATCCCTCGCCCTCCAGCGTCTTCTTGATGGCGGCGAGAGAGGCGCCTCTGCCGGCGGCGGGGACAGCAGCTGCCCGGAGAATGGCCTGGCTGAGAGTCGGTTTCCTCCTTCTCTTGCGCCGGGGATTCTCCCGAGCCGCGCGGGAGGCCGCAAAAGCCGCGGGGAGACGAAGCGAACCGGGCATGTCCCTGCGAACCAATCCCAGCCGCTGCCACCCAGACCCGCACGTGGGGCCGCCGCCCTGACACTGAGCCCAGCGGCCGCCGCTCGAGGCCAGATAGCGAGCAGAGCCCGACGCAACCGAATCAATCCCCTGCTTTACTCCTGCCCCTGCGCCTCCCCCCAGCCTGTGTTTCTTCCGCCCCACCCATGTTACCCCAAAAAAGCACCAGCCCCGATTTGCACAATCATTTCGCCCTCCCCGCTCCAGGGCACTGACCTAGTTCCCCCGCTGGCCGTTGTCCGAAATATTGATGAGTTGCTGTCTGGGATAGGTCACAAAACTGGGCTATGTAACTACATGACAAATGTGTTTGGCTGAGGATTACAAACATTAAGCAATACATTCACCTGCCAAAAAAATTACATAAAGCCCTACAGCAGTGAGATCCTTTATGATTGTGCTCTTAATTCTCCTGTAACTCTGCATCCTTTTGTCCTTGTAGACTTTTAAAGAAAGAGCTTCAAAGTCACAAATAACAATTAGGCCTAACTGGAATAGCCTAATTCTAATGAAGTCTCCCAACTCTGATTGAGTTTAACGGCCATGTATGCCTTTGAAAATCTCCGTTTATGTATCTGAACATTTCTCATTTAAGGAACAAATTTTCAGAAATGTGCAAATGAACATATCCCATATACATAGATACCCAGTGGAGCTGTATACTTCTTAGCTGGCCACATACTGAGACAAATTCTTATTTTGTTGTATGCACACACTATAGAATTATATGCATTGTAAACGGGTGGAATATGCATTACCTGTAATCAGTACTCCCTTTGGAGTGTTTTCTATCATGAAGACCATATAGATCAATGACAGAAACAGAATGTAGGTAAAACTTTAAGGAAACCCCCATTGCTAACAATAGCTGGTTAGAATGAGGAGTGGGACTAATGTATTATCAGAAGTTTCTTCCTATCTATATCAGGGAGAATTTGCTATGCCTGTTCCTATAAAGGTGAAGCGAAGGCAAAAACAGACACAGCCTTAGTTCTTGATACTACATTCAGTGTTAGTTACTACTGTTGCTGGGTGGTGCTTTCTCACACAAAAACACAGCCTCAATGTTGGCCAAGACCCCACAAGAGCTTGTTCAGATCTTCGATCTTTGCAGACAGCAAACTATGGATTGTGCAGAACAATTTGGCTCGTCTCACTTTCCCAGGACTCATTCTCAGATACTTCAGCACAACAACCAAATTATCTAAAGGCAACATTTCTACTACATCTCATGTAGCAGTTTATGCAGCCCTCCCACAGGAAACAGTAGCCCCATCCAACTGAACAAGACTTCACCTAGGCAACTTCCTTTCCTCACAAGCAGCCTTACACCCCCTATCAACAGGACACCTTTCTTCTCTCCACAAAACAGAATGGTTGAGCGACTTTTATTATAACCTTAGAGCTGAGCAGTTCCTCCATTCTGATTGGCTAGTAGGAGTCCAGCTCCCCTGAGCCAATGAGAATGAGGATCCTAAATGAACCAGTGAGAGAGCCCCTTTTCTTTCTCTCTTTTTTTTTCCTCTTAAAACTGTCATGCTCTACCATCAACACAAATGGTCATACTGGGTCCATCTAGCCCAATATCCTGTGTTCTGAAGTGGCCAATGCCAGATGCTTCAGAAGGAATGGACAGAACAAGGCAATTACCTAGTGATCTATCCCGTCTTCCAGTCCCAGCAGCTGGCATGGGATGGATCCCTGATGATCTTGACTGATAAATTCACCTGCTCTATTTAAAAACAATTCCTCCCCACGCCACAAAATCATCTATTGAATTCCTTCATAGGTTGATTTGTTCATTCATCCCTGTTCCTTTTTCTGTCAGAGGTAAGGCTGAGAATTTTAACATTCGTTAAGAGAAAAATATCAAATGCTGCTCCAGTCTGAGTGTAGAGCTGGAGATGCGTGCGAGGCTTTGGTGGTTTTATTTTCACTTTCTCTCTCCCCCCCCCCACCCCCCAGCAGGAGGTTCATGCCTTAACACTAACGCCAGGGAATGAAACACCCTCCCGATCTGGACAAGATGTCTGTTGTGGAATGACAGGAGGCCTCGTGTGCTCTTAGAAACTCAGGGTCTCGGTGCTGGAGAGACACACTTTGGAGGAGACCTAGAGCTGCGGAAGCAGAAGGGCCGGGAGGTTGATTCGGTTGCGTCGGGGTCCAGGCTATAATTAGCCGCGGGCAGCAGCCCTGGCTTCCAGTCGGCGGCGTGAGCGGCGACAGCAGCGACCTGGGGACAGACTGCGCCGCAGGCGCCTGGAGCAGCGAGCCAATAGGCTTCTAAGGAATAGGAAGCGGAGCAGTGCTGGTGGCTGCAGAAGCGGCGCCCCCTTTAGGCCGAGATGAATACCGCGCAAACGGCAGCTGAAGCTCCAGCCGCAGCTCCAGGTCCAGCTCCAGCCAGCCAAAGGAAAAAGAAGAGAAGGAAGAAGAAGCCGCCTCGAAGACAGCGGCCGGCTTTTGCCCAGCTCATCCTGTGGAGCGTGGATTTCTCCAAGAGCCGCAAGGGCTTCTCCCTGGTGGCCATCGAGAAGGAGCTGGCGGCGACGGGAGTCGACGTCCAGAGGAACAAAAGCCGCATCAAAGCGGCGCTCAAGAAGCTGGTCACCAACAACATCCTGTGCAAGGTGCCTGGAGTGACTGGGGCTCCCGGCTCCTACAAGCTCTGCAAAGAACCAGGGGTCGGCAAAACGCAGCTCGTTCTGCAGCTGCCCAAGACCAAGGAGGCCAAGAAGCCGGCAAAGCAGAAGAGACAGGCAGATAAAAAGCCGCTTGCCAACAAGGAGGCTAAAAAGATCAAGAAGAAAAACAAAGGGACGGGGACAAAGACCCCCGGGAAGATCAGGAACGTGGCCGAAGGCAAAGGAGCTGGCAAGACTTCTGCGGCTTCCTCTGCTCACGGGGCAATGGCTCCCCAGCGGAAATCTTAACAGACCTATTGATTCACCGCAACGCAACAACAACGGCTCTTTTAAGAGCCACCCCAAACCATGTCCAGGAGAGCTTTAAGCACGAATGCCCTGATGTCTCCCTTCCACTGCATCCCTAGCTCTGGCACATCTCCCTTTGATTTCAACGGAAAACAGTGGGTGCGCTAGGGAAACCAGAAATAGGCTTTTTAGGTCTTTAAAAAGAGGCGAGATATGCGGGCTGGTTTACTATATTATTAAATATGACGAGCCTCTGTCACTGCCTGAGGGGACCGAGTGTGAAAAATCAGATACGGCGACCAAGTGACCAGAAACTATAGGAGTTGTTCGTATCGAACTATGAACATTTTAAACCCCAGAATTATTCCCAACCTTATCTCAGAATGTGATGTGACAGGTGGAGGAAACGTACAAATAGTCTGGAAACAACCGAAATCCCCACGTTATGTGCATTCTGGTATTGCCCATAATGCAGTCATGGTAGGATGCTCGAAAGGTTTCCGTGACTACCCGTGGTTGGGGAGGGGTTCAAGGACGGGACAGGTCTGCCCTGTTTCTGCCTCAGCTGTACAGTACTCCCGCCTGAAGCCAGGGCTGGCTGGGGTGGAGGGCCAAGATTCCTGCGTTTTCAAGGGCAGATTGGGATATGTACATGCGGGGGGAGCAGGGACGGTAGGTAGGTAGGTAGGTGGCCCCGTCTTATAAAAACTCCAGTTGAAGACTTAGGAGGAATTTGACTTCTAAAGAGACTTTCACAACACAAAGGACCTGCTCCCCCATCAGATAAACGCCACACTCATGCTGCCGCCCCGACCTGATAAACCAGTGATCTGGAGCCGCCCTCCGCTCCCTATATTTCTGAGCGCGGTTGGTTTTCCCGCCGCTGGAAAGGCAGTGAGTGGATCTTGCCGCACGGTTCCTGGTGTATTTCCGAGCGGTCTGCCCCTGAAATGTAGATTTACAAGTAGGTTGTTAGCATCACTCCACGGCTATGCCCAGGCTCCTGCGACAGCTCCGCAGAAGACAGTGACAGTGCCTGGTTTGCTGCCTGAAAGGGACAGCGACAGCAGGCTGCAATTGTTTGAGGAAAACCATTTCAGACTGAAATTTATCAGCGGATTTTGTTAACATATTGCTGGGATGTGGTAAAGAGAGAAACAGCCGGGTGGCTTCAGGTTTTTTTGGGGAAGCTAAAAAGTGTTTTAGTTTATACCTTGTTCCTTCCACATCCCCTTTCTGTTCGGATTGTGGTGGTTTTGCTTCGTTATAGCTTTGGGGCGGCTGGTTTTCCAGTCTTTGGGAAATGAAGACTCTCTATCCAAGTCCTCTGCGAATGAAAACGTTTCAACAGTTTGCAATATTCATCAAGACAACTTAAAGTTTCTACAAAAAAAAATTATCTAGCTGTGTTTGATACCCGTATTTCAATATAAAAGGCAAGGTTATTAAGGGGTTAGAGTATCTGCTATGCAAAGAATTTATAGCACGTCAACCGCATTTTATAAGCCAAAACCTAACTTCCACAGATAATTCTTGCTTATGTGGATATGTTAAAAACCACTTTTACCGGTTTTCTTTTCCAATATTGCTTTTATCAATTTTGTAGAGTCAGGAATGATGAACATTTTAACTGATGAAATCTCAGTCAGTAACTAAGGTGGTTAGACAAGTTTCCCTTACTATGAGCAGCTCTTTCATGGGAAAAGTGGGTGGCCCTTAAAAGGGCCTTTGGGTCTTAATTCGGTGGATGGTTTCACCTTAACACAGGTATAGGACGCAAGGCTTTACTTGGAGCTGGTATATTTGGTGACAGCCTTAGTGCCTTCTGACACAGCATGCTTCGCCAACTCTCCAGGCAAGAGCAGGCGCACCGCGGTCTGGATCTCTCTGGAGCTGATAGTCGATCTCTTGTTGTATAAAGCCAAGCGTGACGCCTCTGAAGCGATGCGCTCGAAGAGATCGCTCACGAAGGAATTCATAATACTCATGGCCTTAGAAGAAATGCCCGTGTCCGGATGGACCTGCTTCAACACCTTGTAGACATAAATCGAGTAAGACTCTTTGCGGCTCCTCTTGCGTTTTTTATCGGCTTTCTTCGCACCCTCCGCAATCAGCTTCTTCCCACCTTTCTTCGGCACACGCACAGACATCCTCACTCGCTTTCCTGCTTCTGACCAACATAAAAAGACACCAGTGGGCTCGAAGTTCCTCTTTATATAGACTGGGTGCCGACCTGAATGAAGACTGAAAGGTCTTCGGTCCTCCCCTCCCCTAGAAACCACTCCTCGTTCGCGCGTCCAGTCTGATAGCTTGAACAGGACGGCTCCCTTTATTCATCCTCTGCTACTGAGAAGGCGGCATAAATGATAGGATCTAGTGTTGTCCCAAACTTTCTTCTTAGATTAGCCCACTCTTAACAAAGCAGTTTGATCCTCTATGATTCCAACAAAGGTTTGTAAAAGTCAGAAAATATTTACTATTTAAATTTCTATTGGAGAATATCTAGCATGTTGAAAGTGATCTTGTTTTCCTGTATTTTTAAAATCATGTTATTTTCCCTTTTTATATGTGAATCGTAGATGTAACAAGAACCAGTTCAGTGCAGTTCTGATCACTAGTCTTTTGACTCTTGGTACACAATTGCATGTTGCCAGAAAATAGACATTTTGATCAGCACTTGCCATGTGTACAAAAGAGCCACGTGGCTTCTTTTGCAGGGGTTAAAGAATAGATTTTTTTTTTAAACTTTTGTCACTGCTATCCTTTATTAAACAATTAACTGGTTTGGGAGAAAATCATTTAATCTAATCTCTCTCTCTGTGTCTGAAGTTAGGTTTCTAAATCTATTCCTAGGTGCCTGAACAGGTGTCCTGATTCTAAAACCACTGTCCACCCAGCAGCTACACCTGAGGAAAATAGGTGCTGCTGATAATTTAGAAATTTTTGGGGAGGACGGGGAGCCTACAAATATTTGGAGTTTACTTATGTACTTAAGACTTTAACTCTAGGCACCCAGGTTTCAAAACCTTTGACCAGAGAGAGCCCCTGTTGTTTTCTGTTTTCTTTTCTGGATACTGTACTTCCCCCCTTCCCTTCTCATTTTCCCAGATTTTTGACTTGACATCAGACTTCGTTGGAAGTAGTTTTAACTTAAACAATTAAAACCATTTAAATATGACAGTCTTATGTTTAAATCATTGAGAATATACCAGCATATAGCTAGAGAAGATCAACCTCTCTACGAAGATGTAGGTTGGTTGCTCTGCCTGATAACGATTCCCTTGGCATGGATAGCACACAAGAGCTGTCTGCTTCATTCTTGCCCCTTCACTCCCTGGGTGCAAAATTCTCCCCAAAAGGAGATTCTGCTGCTGCTGGATGGAGCAAATATAGGCACATGCCCGGGTGACTGAAAGGCTGTGTGCATATAGAGCAGTATGTACGGAAGAAAAAGAGGTCTGGTGACAATACGGTACGTTTCCAGCCAGGTCCAGCAGAGGAGCAGCAAAGACCTGTTGGGGTCGCTTTCAGCTCAGCTAGTTTTCCATCAGGTCTCTCTGATATGAAATTAGTGAATTAGTGGTTGGAGGGAGAATGAGATTCCAGGCCAGGGACTCCTGCTAAGAGGGGGCTGGCCAAAGTGGGTGGTGGGGTCTCATCAACTCTAACTTTCACCTCTCCACACCTGTACAACCAGTCTCTCTCTGGACTGCTCCATTTGAGATACCATGGAAGTGTTTCCACATGGAAAATTTTCTGTTTCCATATTTTGGTTTTCAGGCATTTGATTTTTCAATTTTTTTTTTTGGCCAAAACCCAATTTTCAATCAAGAAACCCAGTTTTGATAGAAAAATTTCAATCTACTTTTAAGGGAATACCTTAACCACATTTTTTAAAACATCACCATAAACTTGGGCCAAGCAGACAGCATGAAATCTTATAGATAACCTGTGCTCCTCCACCAATCCTTTGCTGTATCCACTTGTCTCTAGATGTCTATTGAGATTGTAAATTTTGAGAAGCAGAGGCTGTCTTTTCCTGACATGTTTGTACTAACACATTGGGGCTCTAGTTGGGATGGTCAAAACAATTTCCCCCAAAACCTTTTTTTTATATATTATTTTCAATATCAAAATTTGTCTAATTTAACTGAAAAAAAATTCAATTTCCAATCAGGAAACTGAAACAAAAAAAATAGACAAAAACATTTTTTTAAAATTGTTGCCAAACTTTTGGTTTATTTGTTTTTTGTTTTTCAGCAGTTTTTGGCTGAGAATTTTTGGGTGCTGAAAAACAAAACAAAAAGTAAAATATGGGGGGAGATGGGAGATAAAAAGCCAACATTTTCCATGTGGTTTTTTTATGTGATCTAGCCCCTGGGACTTCTATGGGCTATTGCAATATACAGAATTATAATATACTAATTTTGTCTCTTTCACCTGTTCCAGCCACCAGATGCTTAGCCACCTAACCTGGAGAAAGAAATGATTACAACTATGGGACTATATAAAAGGGTAAGTGCCCATGTGGAACTTTTTCTTCCAATCCCCCTCAAAAAAAACCCAAACCCTTTAATTACCTTCCAGCTAAAGCTGCTACGTTCATATCAAAATAAGACCCACCACAAAAATACAAATAGAAACATTACCAACTAAGGAAATCACAAGCTACGGTCACACAAATAGCCATTTCTCTCTCTCTCACACACACACACAAACACACACAGACACAAAACATTGAATAGAAACTCTCTATATTGAATAGAAACAGCACCCGAAACACCTTAACTCTGACGCTCTAGTTCCAGTAGACATTGACGTTTTAAATACCAGCATTCAGAGAAATGGGCGCTAACCCTTCTCTCTTCAAGGCTACCACTTCCTTTCTCCTCCAGGGCTGGAGCAGCGTATCTAAAATGTGTCACTTCCCCTCTGGACTATAGAGGGCTCTATATCCCCGCTCACAGGCACAGTCTCCTCCATTCTCCCTGTCTGTGTGC